AGGGAAAACATAGATCGAACATAACAGTGAGTATTTTTGCTAAAATCCAATAACCATTGCATTACGCCTTATCACACAACTTACATAAAACGTATGCCAATTTGGAATGAATAGAAGATGAAACATATTAGAATGGATACTTGTTTGAAATGATGACAAGTCCACCCGGTAGATAAGCAATCATATCGTTCATCTGCTGCAAATTACCGCATATTTAATAGGCGTGACACCGGCAGCAATTGAGGATGTTTTGAGCTGGGGTTCATTGCCGGAGCAAATTGAACAAAGCGGAACGGTCAAATACCACATAACCACTCGATGAGACTACCGACCGCAATCCAGAGATGTTCTGTCGCCCAGATGGGGTAACCTTGGTCATTTTTATTGATTTGAGTTGACTATCCTTCGGATTTCACCTTCACGTGCAATACTCAGTTTATCGATTCAATCATACACTCGGAAGCACTAGACTCGAGTTTCGCTCTTATTAGAACTCATCAGTAGTGCATATCCACGGTTCCGTCCGGGATTTCAACTCCGGACCCATCGCATGGAAGGCGTGTGCGTTACCACTATGCCAACTAACTCATAACATGACTTAAACAAATTGCCAGCTCATGCTTGTTCAGTGATAGTCAGCTCATTTGGCCTGCATGGAAGTCTTGACTTGGTGGGAGGCTTTCCATTGGAGTTAACAGATTGTCATCTGTGTCTCCCTTTGTTGCTGTCGGGCCAAATGAACTGACTGACTATCACTGAAGACAACACCGGAACAAACATGAGTTGGCAATTTGGTTCAGCCATGGCATAAGCTGGTTGGCGCAGTGGTAACACACACGTCTTCCATGCGATGGGTCCGGAGTTGAAATCCCGGACGGGACGGTGGATATGTAATACTGACGAATCATATGCATCCATCTGTGATACGATTGGCAGTGCAATAGGGGGCGGACGCTGTCAAACACGCGGCATCATAGAGAGGTTAAGAGGAAGCTGTTATCTGGCAAATTTCTACGGGCGAGAAGAAATCACAGTGGTGAACCAACAGTGAACAAGCTACTGGCAACCCTAACTACAAATGAAGGGTGTGCTCGAAGGAAAAGATGTCCAACGATGCCAAGATGCACAAACAATGAGTTGCTGCGACTAGGCTGAAACTAATGGACTCATACAATATAACTGAAGGTTTCCATCATCCGTTTGAATATCCCAGTTACTATGGCTATAACAAATACAGCCATGGACGTCACATTTTCAATGCCAGAAGTTGATAAGTTGTCTATGATGGATTGGCAACAGGTGACATGCAAGCACGCTCCAGATGGAGGGAAAGTAGCCTCACAAAAAAAACTAAACAGTCGGTATCGATGAGGAAAAGCGTAATTTGTACAGCCCTTAGGGATTTCCTACAGCAGGCACAACTTGCGCAAACGGAAATCTCTCACAAACAGGGTGTTCGTTTGTGGCTCACCACCTATGCTTTCTATGGTCAATGGTTTTGTTAGGGGGGTTAGATGGAGATGGTTATTCTGGACGGCGCTCAAATCTGCTTCTTTTACATAAACACTTCAAAACTGCTCACAGATCTTCATTTCATAAAGTCATGCACAATCCTGCGTTTGTCAACCGGATAGCATATCTATCTATCCCGTCTTCCTATTCCAGTTTCCGGATCGGACTGAACACAATCCAGATTAAAACTCTTTTGAGAACTCTTGAGGATGCAAACGGACCTCAGCTTTAGCCAGGATCAAAAAGTGGAACTGGAGTGGACGAAATCGTAGTCAAATCCCTTGTGGACTACAGGTGTTGACCTCGTGTTCCAGGCTGAATGGAAAGTCTACATTCTGCTACATAATTTTTATTACGACAAAACCCGTAAGTGATCGCAAATTAGTTCGGAACACTGTGAGTGTGAGTGAATAACATTGTTATGCTTTCATGGTGTTCGACGACAAAAATGGTATCGTATTCATGTATACCTTGTGGCACTGTTCACGAATCTGCCAGAAGGAATGCCTTATGAAAAATGATTTTAAAAAATGTAGCAAAAAACAAATGTTCATTCTATTATTTGATGCACTGTAGAATCGATGGGGTATTAACCAATGACAGATGAGTAAACGAGACGAACCCATCAAGATAATACAGTGAGACAGTCAAAACGCACGCACGCACAGCCACGTTTCATACCCCAAGAGACCTGTAACAGAGTCGCTAACTTTAACATTTATTCCGTGCCAATTTTTTTGACTTTGCTTTATAACCGTCAAAATGAAAAAAAAACGAAATAAAAACCAATCCGCATCAATATTGGTGTAATTATACAAATCCAGAGGCAATATTTATACAGGTGTTGCTATCCAGAAGGGAATCACCGAACCAAACGACCATCAGACACATGTAACCTGTACTACTCAGCCGTCAACTGCTTAGCTCTTCCATGGATAAGTTGAATTACGCTGTCGAGTTATGCTCTTTCCCTTTCCATCTCACTCTCGTCATCTTTATAAGGCATTGTATACTTAAACTGTGTAGACAACGCATGATTGCACGGCCCGACCACAAACAGCCCGACGCTGGGAGATCTGTAGAGAGTTCACCTTCCAAAATACCGAAGTACCTATCACGGGGGGAGGGTAGTGTGGACCCCGAAAACTGCCCTGATCCGGGGCCGGCAATCTAAACGAGGATAACCGAGCGCGCGCTGTCTGGATGACTAGGTCAAAGTGAATTGGCTAGCACGGACTGTGTATTGAAATCAACGTGTATTGGAGAATTCGAGAAAAATTACGGGTTTATAAACCAAGAAAATGATTCAAAAGATAGATAAACCAAAAACAAATGTTCCAACTAGTTCGGTGACCTTTCACGGTGAATGTTGTTCACAGTGTACTGTAGCACCCAGTGTTATTTTTTGTTCTGAATTCCAGACTGCTTTTGCTAGACCAATATGCTTTTTGCTTCAACTGTTGGCACACTGTGAGCAACTGAAACCGGCACGCACAAAAGTGCATGGTTAATGGTTGTGTAAACTGATTTAAAATGAACACTACGCGCCAGCAACTGGCGTCATCTGACGAGAACTCATTCGAATTCAGAAAAAGATATCGAATGCACAAGATTTTACAGTACAACAACAACGGAGCACCGCACGATAAAACTGGGTCAAAGTTATGCTAGTATTCAAGACGGTCATTGAGAACAGCTTCGAAAACTCGCGAACAGTAGTCAGCTATTCTCACACAGTAACATGAAAGGTTGGCTTGAAGCAACAATGCCCTCGTACGGATAAGGTGAGCTTTGCGCCTCATGATCCTCGCCAAAAAAATTGTTTTCGCAACCGCTGCTAGAACAGCTCGATACAATATCCGCTTGAGATCGGGGTGTAATCTTGAGTTAGCCATTAGGTCCTCTAAGAGAGCGGGAAATATCCGATTTCAAAGCACTCGTGAAGAGGCGTGTAGGCAGCCCTCGTAACTACTGTCAACGGTTTGAGTGGGCGATGCAGTGTATCAGACACTATGAACGTGAGATATCTCAGCTCGAGTGAGACATCGCCACCTCCGTTTTAATCATCGCTTCCAAGCACACCTGAATGCATGCAGGTGTGTTAATGTTGTTATCTGTTGTATGCTGGATGCAGTATTCAGTTTGCCTGAAAAGATATAAAATTCATCCACTGGCACGTTAAACTAGGCCTGGTGTACCTCATCACGGTCCGAAATGGTGATCGACAGGTGGTGATAACTACGATCAGCACAACACGAATGCTTGCCAAGATTTGTGCATGCGTGTGTTCGTCCAGAACGAAGATTAGCACGGTGTACAAGAAATGCCCCCCCCCCATAATTGCTGCAGAAAATCACCCGATCACTGCGGATTGTTTCTGACATGGGTGCAACAAAATCAGTATAACTCTCAGAATGAACGCAGAATTCGAAGATACATCTCTGATTGAGGCACGAGACAGCTCTTACGTGTAGCTTCAAAAGTGAAACGATCATCCAACAGGTGGGTACAACTAATACAATCACACTGGCAATCCCGAAGGATGAAATCGGAACCTTGAACCGCAGCTCATCATATCGATCGATTTCTCAGTGGAACAGTATGAGATGTTCAGCTACGAGAATTTCAATCCCGACGTCCCTGAAGGACTGTCGTGAGCTGTGTAGGATCAAGGTGATGTTGAGCCGTTGAGCAAGTGGAAAGGCTTCGTCATGATCTAGAGTGCGACTTTTGCGGATGAAAAGTTTTAGTTGAGACTCATCGAAAGAAATCAGACAGCTGACTGCTAAGTGAAGACCTCGAAAGCGTTTTTAATCCCCGCGATTCCAAGGAATCGACTGGAAACCATGATTTCGTAACACGATAATGCTTTTGTACTTTTATAATTCACTTTACAAAAATGAGTGCAAAAACGAAACATCCAGGCAAGAGATGATCTAACCTATAGCCCAGATTTGAACCCGATTGGGTTTGTCTCGGATCCCTTTTCGAGAGGTATCCGCGAAATGAAGACATCTACAGGAATGGAACAGTTTCGAAATCCAGACAATCTGGGGCTAATTGAAAGCAAACACGATCACTGTTTTCCCACTGTCAGGAGTGCGATCAATAGCAAATCATATAATTAAGGACATATCTTCTAGAATTAGATCAGTTTAGGAGGGTAAAATATTGTCATCATCATCATCATCAAAACCAACTCAAATTTGATCGATCTGATTGTACAAAAACAAGGTGGGACTTGTCATATTTTGTGCATTATGGTACATCTAACTTACTCGTGAATGAGAGAAGCATTCTCACGATAGACTGAGGGAATCGATTCCGTATGTTGAGATACTGTTTGAGATGAGACAGACTAAAACGGGAGGCAGTGATCGGTGGGATTGCAGCCAATGTGCCCACAACAAAGACACGCTGGTTGATAGACAGAGCGAGAAATGAGACGAGAGACCGAGTGTGGTAGGTAGGTGGGGGGGGGCAGGAGGTCATGATTCGCAAAATGTGAATGTGGATACGGGAAAAATTAGCCGGATCTCACTGTCTGCCGATCGAATCGGGACCCCGTTCTGAACGTGATAATCAATCAGATGTTGAATGCTATCGAACACTCGTTCTTTAGTGCGAACCTGGGTGAAAATGGGGCGAGAATTAGAGGATCGATGAAGTACACAGCGAAAAGGGTAAATAAATTGTTCGAGTGTCAAAACATAAACTATTGGCTTTTGAAAACCTCCGAGTGTTATATTTTGGGTTGTGATTGGTCACCCTAACACCGCACGTGGCGAAACGCTCCAATACGACCGAGCGTCTCAGATAGTCTCTGTTGAGGAAGACCTACGCACTACCTTCACGTGACGGAGGTTCTTTTTCATCAAAGTGATAGGATGCGAATTCCACATCTGAGACCAGAACCGGTTCGGTGGAGCACTGGAATTTCACCTGGGGTAGTTGATTTAAAACCCGGATTCCAAACCAGCCAATAAGAGGGCTAAGAACCACATACACACATCTTCCTGGTTCTGACGGTGATTACCAGCTTAATTGGGCATCAGAGGTGTATTGAGCACCTCGGACGTTTAACCCCGTTCAAACATATGTATGTATAGGACACCGGCCTTAAATGGGCTGCGGCATCTACACAATGCCGCGCTACCGTGCAGGTCAGGCTTTGGTTAACCGAAGGCTCCGATTGTGAGAACCCCCAAAATAGTTCATCTAATTTGGCTTGAATGATCTGGCAGGATTCTGTCCACAATCGAACCATGGTCCAATTTCTTGGTCATAAAGATTGTTGTTCGGTACGCACTCTGGACTGTGGACACGTGCGAAATAAAATGTTATGGTGCGTGAACGTAAGATCTCCGTGATTACCTTATTCACCGCGTCATTGTATTACGACGAAGGTTATATGCATTTGAGGCGGAATGAAATGAACTGGTGTATTCATAACGCTTTACACTTTGCCGGTAAAACGCACATTTCAAATGACAGTAGTATACTGGGCTGAATTGCAGACTGCATCGAGGGCACCATCCGCGAGCGCGCGCTTCGTAATTTGAATAGACTCTCACAATGTAATGCAGCCGAAATGTATGTTGGAAAAGTACGTTGAAAAGAAGACCAGAGGGACAAGAAACCCCAATCAACACTGTTGCCCGGGGATCAAGGAAAACTAAAATCTCTCATGCCGCTTTTTATTACACACCTCCGTGTGATGAATAGCAGACGGGGCGATACCCATAGTCACGAAAATCTACTGATCAGTGATGAAAACCGGTAACCCAGGACTTGGAGTGGTGAATTACATAAGGCCCCGACAGCACAGCTGTCTACCACCACATTTGGGTGGCGGGGCTTGAACCTCGGACCATAAGGTCCAAAGTACGCCTGTGATAGCGACTAAACCACTGCGCCACCATCACCACCCTGTGAGGGTACTGAGTAGGACTTCTTCAGCAGAACTGGCTATTTGAGACAATTGGTCGTATAGGGGCATATCACGAGGGTGACCAGTTATAACCCGAGATACCCCGGACAATACCGATGCAGTCACCAAGCTGATCATGAGGAACGCATGCAAGCATGCCACTGCTCACAATACTCAGGTCAGCCTGTGTATGCATCAGTGTCAAAATGGGTAATCCATCTGTAACTGTTCTCCAAACAGCTGTCCACGTTAAACTTTCTATCAAGGAGCGATCGCCTTATGAACTATATGCGCCACAATTTACAATCAGCTTTGAACCTCGACATTCCCAGCTGCTCAACTTCAACTACTCATGGAATGGATTTGGACAAACTTAAGCATGGTCGGCAGTTCAGTCCTGTCTTACACGCTATATACCACTTGCTGATTCACTTTTGCTTGTGTTTGCTTCCTTCAAGAATGAAAATACTGAAGGGAACTGGCTACTTAAACCGATCTAGTGTTTACGGGTTCTCGTACTATTCCGCCACGTTGATCCAACACGTGAGTTAAGATACCTCTGGACAGAAACGAGACCTCATCTATTTCTAGAACCACTAAAATCACCACCACCGGTGCGCACGTACCAGTCCATTCGGATCGGCCAGCAAAAGGTGTCGACACTTCGAATCTTGCATTCCACTCAGAACAAATTGCCCCGGTTGATGTGGACTAGCTCGAACGAGGAAATCCCCCTCGTAACGTAACAGACTCTCGGCCTGGGATCGGGACATTTTGCCCACGTACCATGGTTCGCCGACCGGTTCTAGGCGTTCAAAAGCCACTGTGGTGGGCGTCGTGGTTGTTCGGGAGTTGGCAGCATTCTGAGGTGCACGATTTGTCGCTGATGTCGTTTTGGTCGTCTCAGACTGTGTGGGACTGTGTGCAGGTAGCGTGGCAGCGGTGTTTGAAGCCCCAGTGCGAGACGGAAACACTGGGTTTGTCCGTTTCACGGCGCCCCGGTCATGATTGTTACCCGGAGCAGGAGTGTCTAGTGCATCTGCATTTGAGGCATCATTTTCCAACAACCCTGATCAGTTGCAATGGAGAGAGAAAAAGAAAAATGGCCACAGTTATCTACATAACGTTATTCTGATGTCTATAAATCAAGCCGTAAGAAGCGTGTGATCACATCTGAAAGATAGGCATCATGAACACTGTCTCGTAATGCTAAGAACAACGACAGGAATTCCCTTATATTAGTATAACAGACGAGATCCTGCTCACTAACAGAAAGTACATTTTGATCACAACTCGGAGAGTGACGAATACATGACAACTGGTGTCCGAAGCAATCGATAAGTCAGAGGCACATTTGTTTAACTTAACACATTTGGTATGTGCACCCGCCTCATGAGTTTATGTTTCATCCCATGCGTAGGAAGTTAACAATGAATTAGGACTAGGTAGTACCTTAGAAAATAGCTGACCTAGAACCGAGTTAAAGTCATAAAACATATTTGAACTATAGAATACCGCACAAGGCTTTAACAGCTAAACCATGGTTCATTTTACGTCTCACTATTCAACAGTGGTGGACTTCTGCAGTTCTGATTCTCAAAAAAATAAAGGAAGACCGTCTGAATTGAACTAAAAAAAATGAGAAAAGACAAACAAGTACCAACAAAAAATGTGATTGGCTGTCCGTGGGAGTGATATATGTATATAATGACTAGTATATGAATCACTCGACAAAATTACCCAGAAGCACACGACCGGTTTCGCGGTCCTTGTCACTTGTCAGGCATGCGTACCCCTCCCCCCCCGTAATCTTCTGTCTGATCATTGTTATACTGGAACTCACGATGTGAGTTATGAAGTGCAAACCTCAGTTGCAGCTCGGGGAGTAGATTTGAGACGAACAAGTCTCGACAGAATCATTGC